TAGTAACTCCGTTATGACAAGAAATGAATTAAGTTAATGATAATGGTGACAATATTTTCTTATATTTCAATTTGCATAAATTGTTTGCAAAGCTTATGCAACATATCTGCTCCTACAAAAATTAATAATTCCTTTGAAACTTTCTTTTGCTGGGGAAGGATTAATTGCAACCATTTAAAAACTATGAATTTATCCTATAAAAATCATTTTAACCTAAATTTCTTTGACGAAAGCATAGCTGCGCCTTTGAGTTTCTATATTGGCTTTCTATGAAAAACAAAGTGTGGATCCAATATAACAGGAAACACCGAATTGTTATAACAGGTTCAATGATCGTATAAGTTTATTATTCTATTGCACTTAAATGAGATCCATAAATTGCCTTTCATATGGAAAGGCAGTTGATGTTACGGAAAGGTAGGAAGTAAGAATAGTACGATTGTTTCCAAAATTAATGTGGAGAAAAAACTGCTTGGATGAATATAAACAAGACCTTTACCGATGTATAAAAGCATTTGGTGAAAGCAATTTTACGGTAAACAAGATTAACAAGTTTTGTACGAGTATACGACTATGGTCTGTGTTGCATTGTAAAGCTAAACAAAAATAATCCGTCGAACTATGCAAATATTTTATAGAGCAAAGAAATCAGCTCTGGGGGTAGTCTTTGCATAATGCAATGTAAGGGTCTTAGCAAAATGAACAGTAAATTTTGTTACAGACATATTACATGGTAGAAGCAGGGTGAACTACTACGGCAACAATATCTTTAACTCTTTCACAGAGGTGGTCGATGGTAAGATTAAAAACATCCTGCACTTTATAAGAGCTTCAAGGTGTTTCTGCAACTTATAAAGATGAGGTTTCGTGTTGAACAGTGGTCCTCCAGCAGATCCGCATTGGCTGTTTGAGGTTCTTAATTTGTCCGACTGCTCTAGTGAGAAACTTTGGACCTATCATTTTAGTAATTGGTTAAAGAATAATGTAAATAATTATTTATTCCTTTATTTTTCACTCAAAGATGGCGCTAATTTAAAATTACTCATAGAAAAAATATACTAAGTTTTTGAAAATTCTGAACGCGCTCGGTGAGAGACTTATACCCATAAAAGTATGAATACGTTTTTAAAACTTTCTTAAATTTTCAACAATATTTTTAATGCTACGATCAGTGGCGTTTCCAGTGCTGGCCAAGAAGGTGGGTGTTATTGTACAGTTAATACAAACTATAACTTAATTTATTGAATCGCAAAAGCACTACAAAAAAAAGAGTTTCTAATATATCCCCTCCTTGGCATATTCCTGTCTGCGCAATGCCATTTGGGGTTTTCACTAATGATACTATATTTGTTCTTATGAGAGCGACAAAGGAAAACATCGAACTGAACAAACATTTAAATAAGCTTTCGACAGGATACGCAGAAATTCATTGTTCTGTAAACTCTATAACTTAGGACTAACTCCAAAAATAATAAAGTCAATATAACTTCTATAATGCGATACTAGGTCAGAAGTATGAAAGGGATAACATTTCTTTGCCGATAACATATATCGGGTCTGCATGTATCGTGTCTGCATATATGGGGTGAGCCGTACGTTTGTAAAAAATCAATAATTTTTAAAAACTATTTTAAAAATAGTTTTTAAAAATCTTTTCCACCTAAAATTGAAATAAAAATGGTACTAGTAAGTGTTGTCGTTAGAAGTCGTTAATACATATAAATATTGCAGTGTTTGGTGACTCCAAGACTGATTATCCGATTAACGAAACGTTAATCCGGAATAGCCTCATTTGGAATTATATAACGCATGTTATGTATGTGCTTAATCCATGTTATGGGATAATATATTGGAAAAAAAAAGTTGATGAATTTGCATTTAAAAATGTTTGAATTAAAAGAATTAAAATTAAATTATAGAGTGTGAAAGAATGCAGTACTGTTGTCGACATTTAAGTCATGACTTAAGTACTTTTCGCTGTATTTTTATAATTAATTCAAAATAAAAACAAATTTCGAACAGGCCAACTTCAAGTCGATCGCAAAATTTACTTACGATATAAGTAACTCTTCTAAGCATTGTAAGAAACGATCAAGTACTAAATTGTACGCTTACAACGATATCGTCAAAATACGATCAACTGCTATAGGATGAACCTTTTTTTGCAAAACAGGTTATTTGTAATGAAAAAAAAAAATAATAAATAAAAATGTTATCTTCTCTGGAGAATATAGGAACACGATTGAATTGTTGCGTTTCATCAATTGAAAATCTTATATTAAATGATTTTGTTAACAAAATATTTGGAGTATTTACTTTATTTGATTAATTATTTTGCTATATTTTTATCCGCAGTGCATTCTGCTAAAAGGATTTATTTCGGTGTGGTGAGTATGTGTGCGTTCCTGTTACTTAAAAACGGAAGTAAGCATAGGAAAACTTACTTTCTTTAAAGCATGTTTCCTAGCAGGCGCAAGTGATGAAAGTACATATATATACATAATCGTAAATGTAACATAACATTTGAAACGCAACATTATATCATCTGACTTTTTTGGCATTATTTTTAATTTAAACTTCGTTTTGTTCTGTTTTGTTCTTGTCAACTTATTTGTTTGTTTTATTTAAAAATGTTTCATTTAAAAATTTCAAAAAAGGTTGCGAATTGCAAAATCAAAAACGCTTTGTACAGAAGTGAGTGTTCTCTGTTTGATTTTGACCCACACTGCCGTAAAGGCAGAAGCAGAAGCACACATAAAAAATCGAAAAGGAAGAAAAATGGCGAAGGCAACCACCTACTGCAGCACAATCTACAAATCTACAATCCCACAACCCTACACTCTTCTGGTTTGCTCATTTCAGTTTGCATTGTCTTTATGTGTGTAGCATTTAACAAACTCTAATTCATTGCGCAGATTATTTTTTCTGTCATTTCAATTGTGTGTGCATGGCATCAACACGATAGAAACGAGCTGCAATTGGTTAACAGTGTGTTGGTGTGATGAGTTAGCTAAAACGATATAGCTATATACTATAAGAGACAGAGAAGTGTGCTTTGCGATTTTAGCGTATGTGCACTGTTTTGTTCCCTTTCTGATTAAAACTACTGACGAAACAACAGAACATTTCAAACTGTTTATATTCAAATTCAGTGCTGCCCATTTTTCACAAATACTTGCAGCTTAAGTATAATTTTTTAAAAAGGAAACCACACAAATGGAATTGAAATTATTTGCGCGAAATTAAATGAAATTAATTATAATTTAAAATTGTTTTTTTAAAATTGTTTGTTAAAGGAACGAATTAGGTATTAAAAGTGCTACTTTATGTCTTCTATCAAATATTTCCAATATTTTATTGAAGTGGTATTTAGAAGTAAACCGTTAACTAGGTAGATGTTAAAGCAACAAAACGTCTAAACATTCATTTTCAATTCTTTCTCGTTTAAGTTGTTAAATGAAACAGATTTCGCTTTTTTTCGTCTTACAAGAAAGCAAAAAAATGACAAGAAGTAAAATAAGTTTAATAATTACTGCAACGTTTTAATTATTTAATTTGTTAACTCGTTCTTCTATTTATATTTCTTAAAATATTATTTCTTCAAATACTTAAAATTCAGGTTCAATTTAAATGTACAATAAATACAATTGACAAACGTTTTACAGAATACTGAAAAAATTATCAGCCCTGATGCCTTTGTAATGTGGCCATTCATCATTGGGTTTAGTTTTTTGGTTCCAAAATTAAACATATAAAACTTTTTAATATTTTAAGGTGCTATGGAGCATTTATGGTTTCTTAACCAAGTCCATAAATCCACATTCTTCAAGGAATAATGATTTCATTTGAAAAAGCAACAATAAAGTGGATTAAAATGTCCAGCTGTTTAACAAAGAAGTTATTTATTATTAGTGAATTACATATGTAATTTTTTACAAAAAATATTGAGGTACACAGATTGTATTGATTAAATATATCATTACTTGATTATTATATTCGCCTGCTTTCAGATTTGATTAAATACTTTCTCTGCCATTTTATTTCCTTCAATTTGGAATTTCTTCAAATATTTGTTATATTTTTATGTACCCAAAATGTGCATAATGCATGTTATATATAATACAATAAATACAATTTAGATTATATTAAGTATTGTTAACATATATCGGATCTGCATGTATCGTGGCTGCGGAAGATGTTAGCAAGGTTACAATAAAAAAAGAATAGAATCAAGCTAAAAATCAATTAAAATTTCATGTTATTTGAATAGTCTCTCAAAAAAAAAAAATAATAAATAAATTTTATATAAACGAGAAATAAACAGTAAAAATAATAAAAACATTACATCAAGAAATGAAATAAACAGAAGCTTTCACGAGTTGTTATTTCGCGAATAAAAATAAGATAAGATAAAATCTGTATAGGCAATTGCACCAACATTTATATAATTAGGAATCTTATATCTCTATATGCAAATTAATTCAACTAGATTTTTATATACATATGTTGTGTATATATGTATGACATTAAAAAATATTCATTTGTTGTTGGTCCTTTCGCTTGTGAACCATGCGATAAATACATTCAATGAGTTGTGAAGATAGATTCTGCTGGAATAATCAAATTATTAACAATGCATTATCCAATTCGTGTTTTATAGATTTATATTGAAATTAATTTTAAAGCAATGTTTCGTGTATTCTAAATACAAAATAGGTTAATTTTTGGCATTACAGCGCATTTCAAACTGTTGCACAAGGTGCTTTTCGGCTGTCATTCCTTTAAATTCAATATCCTACATGGGATGGGCGGGTTGATAACTGTAAATATAAAAAATTATATTTTAAATATTTAAATTGAATAGAAATATCGAAAATAGTAATCAATCTTATAAAACATAATTTTAATCTTGAAACCTGACTTTGGGGAGTCCTGACTCAATCCGCAAGACTGTTTGGCAATGCTCGATATAATCGAATGCGAACATTAAAATATCAGCAATGGAAATATGTATAAAAATTTAATCACTACTTCGTTTTTGCACCCAAATGATAAATAAATAATATGTCATTCGTTCGAGTTTGCTGCCTAGCCTTCTTCCCTATTGGATCGTCCAACAAAATAACAAAATCAGACCTAACTAATAAAATTAAACTTGTTAAAAGGAGACAATACTATACAACAACTGCGACAGCAATTCCTTTGGGCGACTTTGAGGAATTTTTTCCCGCAATATTAGCTACGCCAGCGATTCGTGGTGTTGCAACTTACACTAGCACCGCTCACGTCCAAGTCAAACTTCTACCTATGCTTTTCCACCACCGCCCAAGACACAACAACAATAGCCACTCAACATCAACATCATTATTGTTGCTATCACATCAGCATAATAAATCATCAAACACCCACCATCAACCTTACAGAGCAAATTGGTGTTTATGGGAAATTCATGCTGCTGACTGCGGCAGGATGCTTTGCGCTACAACGTCAGCACGACTGCGAGCAGCATGCACATGATCCTTAATTTAGTTATAATTTTGTTTGCTGCCTGAAATCGTATATCATTTTAAGTTTGATCGGCCGCGAATTCGTATCGAGATAAACAAGCAACTGGCACCATACAACGACCATAAACTTGTCAGTGTTTCAGTGAATCTAAGTAAACTATTTTGGAGCCTTGAGTTCACTATCGACGCTCTTCCAAAGCGTTCCACTCGGGTCAATAGTGCATTATTCTCGTTTTTTTGGTGCGGTTATTATTTTTACCCCTTTCGTAAATATTTCTCATCAATCCGGACGCAATTCTGCTGTAGTCTACACGCACACACACACACACACGAGCTGCACGCCCCGTCCGTACACCTTTTCGTTTGGGATACAGGAGTGAAAAGTTAGTACTGCGATACTTTCGAAGGACAACTCGCTTATATTTAGTTAGGTCGGCGGTTAGCAACGCGGCGGCAGCAGATTGCGATAGAGTTAAACGTACACGAAATATCATTATTGTTATTACCCCCAAGAAGTGAGGAAATCGAATTTTCATTATTATTTGTAAACATTTGAAATTGGTGTCTGTTACGTGCATTAAACGGATTAACGGTACTATGGCGCCGCACTGCTACTACGATTTTTGCTCGTTTTTTTACTCACCAACGGTTTATATAATTCCTGCTAAAGTTTATGCGCCAGTGTCTCTAATCTTAATTGCTCAATTTAATTCATAAATATTTTAGCGCGACTTTTCGATTTTTGGCAGTACACATATAATCGAATAGAAAAAATACATATTACTGAAGAAATCATAACAATCGCATAACAATTTTAATTAAAAAAATAAATAATAAATAAAAAATTATTACTTAAAATGATATAATTAGTGCAATAATTTATCTACCGGCAGTTCGAATCACAATTCAGTAATCGGCATTCGCGCACCTTATAGCAAATAGAGGAAAAGTGGTGCTGTATATAGCTTAAAAAACATTCTTCAAACTTCCGGTCTTATTCTAATAGATACCTAGTGTTAAGAAGTGATTAATTTCTCTCCTACATTTCTTAGTGGTTAATACAATTGATTTTTTCAAAACGTATATCGATTCGCGTTTTTACGCCGGCCACAAATTGGATTTCAAACAACACAGTTGTGCCGGCGGCCCTGGTTCCGGTGGTGGTGGAGTCGTCGGCAATAGCAGCAGCCATCCTCTTCAAAATCATATTCATACCCACTCACATCATACATTATCGCATCCTGTACTTCATCCACATCACAACAACTCTGTCAACGCTTCACATCCTTCTGGTCACGGAAGTACACCAACTAACACTGCAGGTCTTCAGCAAGTAGGCCCAATATCCCAGCAACCAACAGTAACACCGCAACAACAATTACATACTCCCACTTCAGTCGGATTAACTGCAAGTAACGGCAGTGCTTCAGGTGGCAGTGTAGCTGCTTCAAGTTCAGTTTCTTCCATTGTTATAGGAAACGGACCAGTATCGGCTGGTCATAATAATTCTCAAAATATTGCTACCGCAGCTGCAGTTGCTAGTGCTACAACTACAACACTCCCACACGTCGCTCCACCAAATTTGGGGCTAAGCCCACAATCTAGTGCAGATTCTCAGCAGTTTAACATTTTTCCAGCTATTTTTAGTCGTCAACTTAACTTCTCCACCGGCGCTTGTGGCCAAAGTAAGCTAACTATGGATGAGCTGCGTCCAAACTTAGTTGGCGGGCTTTTAGGCTTACAACAAGGTCTTTTGGAAGATCACGCAAATATGCAGCATGGAGGCGTTGGGCAAGAGACCAAATTTATGTCATTTCAGGATAATAGGTTAATGGGTATAACTTCTTCGCATGAAAATAGATTGCTAGGTTTAGCAACCTCGGCTGTGCAGGACTCGCGTTCAATTGATAAGAATTCACTTAATCATCAACGAAAGTGCAGTAGCACACCAGAGGATTTCAGTTCACTATATTCTGGTCTACCCACACCTGGAATGGATTCTTCCTCCCATCATCATACACCCGCGCATACACCACCAACACGATTGTCGGATCACACGATATCCGGTAATTATCTACTTACGTGTACGTTCCTCCATATATGCATACTTACTTTTTTGTTGAATTAAATTTATTGTATTTACATACATACATCCATTTGCGCACATTACACAAAAGGTTAACCCGCTTGCAGAAGGGTAGAATGTAATATTTGCTTCTCATCCATTGTTGTTTTCTTTGCCTTTCGAAATGACCAACTGCTTTGGATATGTTCTATTTTACAGTATGTCATTTAAATCGAAAATTTGTTTCATTGTTTATAGGAGCTGTCACCCTTCAAATCAGTTGGTGATTTGTGCTCCTATTATCCAAGACACAATAGTGAGCTCACGCTTTGAAGATTAACTGAAGGTGTTAACTTATTTCACATTTAGGGCTAAAATTTTGTTGGAAATGCTAAATGGAGAAATTGTTTACTTTGTTGTCCCTTCTCTAACCTTAATTGGTTATTTTTAAAAATGTGTTTCAGAAATAAAGAGTTATTTGGTCTAAAATATATGAGTGGAAACTTCAGTGTTCTTCACACAAATAATTGTGCTGCAATTCATTCATTATTTACTTAAGTATTTTATTTTGATTATTTATTTTATTTCGCATTTGATTTTTGACTTCACTCAGCGCTAATTTAGCCAGTTAACCTTATTCGCCTATTTGGCTACTTGAATTCGTTTGAATCTACAAATTTTTGTGTAAATTTAGATTAGCTCCAAAAGTAAGAAATCAGTTTGCCTATAAACAAACGGACGGGGGGAGGGTGAGGCAGTAAGACAAACTGATAATATGTGTATATAGAAATATAATAGAATATAGAAATATTTCTACTCGCAATTCCTAAACTCCTACGTCTCACAAATTCTTTTTGATTAGGAACCATCATTCACCCTGGTTTTTTAAAAAATGTTTATAAAATATTATCTGCGTATGACAAATGTACCACTAAAAAAAACTTGATAAGATTTATGCCTGGAGGACTTTTAATAAATATGCATGTTTTCTTCAATTTATTTAATTTTTAATTTATAAAGAACTGTTGATTTCTGCTATATAGTTTTATTGTTTTATTGTATATTTTTGCAGTATTTTACACTTACGAAAAATGTCCTCTCACATAGACAAAAATATATACCAATGATTTGTATTGGAATTGTAGTGATAACCATTAGTCTGAAGTCGAAGAATATTTTGAAGATTTGCGGATATAATCAACGATATTTAGCTCTTTTGATCTTCTTATGGTTCTGTAATATTGGATTCTTTCACAATCAGAACAAAGTTTACATAAAATTTTTTGATTGGAAGAATAATGCTTCCTTTTATTTCTTAGTTTTTGTCGCTCAATTTTAGATTCTGGATTACTCCTTCACCTCCTCCTTAAAGTGATTTCTATTACATTTGTACTGTTAAGTTGTTAACGTTTATATATTAATGGAATCAGAGGCGAGGCGTCGAATGGTTCAGAGTGTTCACTGAACACCTTAACAAAGCTTCCTTTTCAGATTTTTTTTTATTAGGTAAATAATCTCGCTATTTTGCTACTTAACATTTTTTATAATAGCTTTTCCAAATATATTAACATAAACACAAAACGTATAATACAAACAAAACCACACATACATATGTTAGTTACACCCAACATTGCTTATAATTAATAAAAGAGAAAACACATTCCTCTTGAAATATACTAAGGTGCAGAATAAAAACTGCACCGCGTTGCGTACAAAGCATGCAAATGAAATAACATTCACATTGGGACTATGTTCAATATTGAATACACAACACAAAACATACAAACAAATATATGTACGTAAAATAATCTTAACTCTTAAATTAATGCGTGCAAGCAGTTCAATAAAAAAAGTGTACTTCCAATGTTATGCAAAGTAAATACAAAAGAGAATAGAAATGACTGAGCGAAAATCGCTTTACATTTGACGAGAGGATCATTCCACTAAACTGAACCAAAAGTTTATACAAAGCGTGCAAATACAAAGTCACGGTTGCTGTTTTATATGGGGAAATGGTTCAGTATAAAAACTGAACCGGGCATTGTAAATACAAAGTAAAAGAGTAAATGAATGCATGAGAGTTTCTTACTCTTATATAGAGGTTGAAAATAAATCAAAACAAAGTCATTATTGCAATTTTATACTAGCAAATGGTAAAAGTAAAGAAAGAAATTAAAGAAATTTGAAGTAAAAATAATATTTAGAAATGGATAAATGTGTGATTAAAGATTTGGTTCAATGTCTTTTTTTAAACGATCTTCTGAAAAAAAGATTTTAATTCATAAAACGAATAAACCAACTCCAGATATGAAGAATTTGATACCTGTTGTAAAAATGTCGAAATCTATGGTAAGTCGTCGTTTTCCTACAGTTACAGCTTTATGGTAAATAAAAACCAGTGGATCACAGGCTGCGAACATTTAAATAAATTGTTTTATTGGTCTTGTACGCTATTTGCTTGTGGAAAGGACAAAACTTAGAAGTAGGGGGAATACGTTATAGTTGGAATTCTGTTTTGATTAAATTGTGAACACCTTGCCAAAAAGCTGACGCCTCGCTACTGAATGGAATATAGATGCTCTCATTATATTATTCATTATTTGCTTGTAAAACATAAAAAAAAATTTTTTAAGTTAGAAAAGAAATGTTATTTTTAGTTGTAAAAATGATATTATCTTTCAGTACAATATCCACCAATTTTACCCACTTATTCCAATTAAAAGATCTTATCATTTTCATGTGGAATATTGTTTGAGGTCAGAGGATAGTTAAAAGTCAGAAGGAGCTGAACCTGTTGAGTAGAGTCGCGTTAAGAGCTGCATTGATTTGATTAAAAATATTTTTAATTTTATCTTTGCATTCCAAAAAGCTTATACAAAAGCGTTGTTGACTGATTTCTAGACATAAACTCGCTTTAGAGCTGTTTTGGAGCAAGTGATTCATCGACGCCCAAAATACTTTTTATGCTTTATAATAAGCAAAGATGTCGTTGACAATTTCGCTTTTGAATGAGTGTTTGTTTTATCGTCAACAGTTGTGCTAATCATTGTACCCAAATTTATTGAAACCGTCGCCAAATTTAGATTTGTGAGGCCCCTTTCATTGCCCAGACCTAGAATTAAATATATGCATTAATACGTGTATGGCATGCATAGTATATTTAAGCGTTCCCAATCAAATTACGATAAATGAAATATAAATTTCATATAAATTTCCAACAGGAGACTCGCGACATTCCGAATATCTAATTTCTGACTTAACTATTCTTTATAATAATAAATATTGAAATATGATATAGCTTTTTACGAGAATTGAATAGTATCGCTTTTTTGGTTTTTGTTTTTTTGTCGAATCATGTATTACTGTTTATATATGATCAGATCAGATTATAAATTACTCAATAAGTAAACATATATAACATAATTATAGATTAATTATAAATAATTATATTATTATAATTATTGTATTAATTAAACATTAATACAATATATTATTAGGTATAATGTATTATTATAATTATACATACCTATATTAATTACATATAACTAAATATTCATTAAAGTTTTTGCAAGGCTTCTGTGTATAAGTTTACATAAAATCTTCCTCTGAATCTACTTTGGTCAATTTACGATATTTCGAAACTATTATAGCCTGATCATTGAATTAGACTGTGGTTACATTGCATGCGAAATTTGTCTTGCTTGTTCTTACGAACAAATCATATGTACCATATGTCATCCTATTTGAGTGATTACGGTTGCTAAGAATTATTCGCGCGACGCCTTGTCTTTCTCATGCGAATATTTGATTAAACAAAATATTTTGTTCAAAATTCATATGTTCGTGCATAATCGAAGGTGTAAATGGTCATATTGAGAGGTGTGTGTCAAAATAAATTTGTAAATATACACTAGTTTTAGGAAATGGATTGCGATTTGCTTTGTTTATTTTGTTTGAGGAATAGACAAACTCTCCATTTTTATACCTTTAAGAATAAAAATCATGCTCCTAAATTCATCTTTTGTTATTTTAAATTAGTAAATAACTTAACGAATTTTTCGCTAAATATAATTCATCTTCACTATCCATTTAGTCCTCAAAACAAACAAAACAGAACCGTCAATTCACAAGCAATATAACCGCAACATGCGATGTGTTCGCATGAGAAAACATATGTACGAACACGCAAGACAAAATTCGCATGCAATGTAACGCAGCCTTAAAAAATGTCTCTTTACTTACTAATCGATACTTTATTATTTTTTTATTGAAGCATGCCAGAAAACTAAAACTATATTCAATTTGACGGTGAAAATGTCACTTCGTTTAGTTATAAAGAATATAACAGAAATAATATCCTATTTTACAATAAGCAGTTTTTTAAGAACCATTTTTTTTAATCTGTTTTTAAGTACCAAGTAAATTTGTAAATATTGTTCCTGCATTAAACCTGTTGTTTACAGTTGAATAATTAAAAAAATTATAATTTATAGTATATATATAATATTTTTATATATTATAGTTTATATGCGAATTCCGATTTTTATGAAATGAGTATATATCATTTCATAAAAATCGGAATTCGTAGAATCTTTATAGCATGAGTCGCGAAGTGATTGCGAAGGGACAGCCAAACGATTCGACTGTATTAATGTATTCGTACATCCTTTATGGATAGTCTTTTATTTGGCAATATTTCTTGTTAACTCCCCTCGACTTTTACTTCTCCTTATAATGATAAATGGTTCTGGAACCCGAACATGCTTTCATATATGTTATGTTTAAGAAAAAATAAACAAGTGTTTTTCATGTAATAAAATTTAAAATTTGCACTTTAACTTGATTTATCCTTATAACTCATACTCGTAACTGTAGTATCGGAATTCTGTTTTATAATTGCTGAAGCGCTTTTCCATGATGCATGGAAAATGCTTCAAAGCATCCACATTAAATATTCCCTAAATGTTTAAATGAGTTTATCAGATAAAGGTGTTGGTAAAATAATTTCTTGGTTTGAAATGAAAAAATAACATAACAATAAGTTTATTTGCCTTTTCCTTACGCCTGAAGTATATGTATGTAGTATTTAGATAGATAGTATCGAGATAAGTATACATCACTGAATCTATTTATCCTGTCATGCATTTTTGGTAAACTAATTTTTGCTAATTTTTAATTCTAAATTAAGATATTCCACTGGATAATTGGCGAATTATTCCTCATTCACCCAGTTATAATTGGGTCAAAAGATTTGTATCTCATGGATTTGCCAGCGGTTTTCGTGTGAATTTTTCCAATTTAATCTATTGACGACGTTGATGCAGATTACTCATTTGCAACGTCATTTCAAAGTTGTTTGAAGTTTGATGGAAAAAAAATTTTATTGAATTTCTATTTTTTTGAATTAAGTAAAGTTGTTTTATTCATCGCAAAAGCCTGGCATGAAGGGGTTTGTCAATAAAATTGAAAATAAATTATTGAATACAGGTATTTTGCGACATTGGAAAGTAATGCCATTAATTGACAATACAAACCGATGTTCCATAAGGTGGCGTGTATGGGTCCCAGCTGTTTTTTATTGTTTAATTAAGTTAAGGTTGGTTTTGTGTGTTAACATAACTAAGATTCCACAGTTCGAATTTCCTAGGACTCGATTCCTTACACTTGTTACACTATAATCAAAAGATAACATATGGATAGTCAAACCTTTAAATCTTTTCAAATATCAGTGGTGATAAATATTGAGCGCTATCCGGAAGAGCTGTATGACCAGCTAAAAATTCAGTTTTTTCGCTGTTGTAGTTTTTTTAAATCAATCGTTATGCCAGTTTATCTAACAATATGGGTATTCCGACTTGCTCTGTAATTTGGTTTCATTTAATTTAGTTTTGTAAAATATTTATTTTTCTTGCCATTTTCTTGTATTTATGTTAGATAAGCCAACTAGAAAAGAAATCAAGTGTTGTGGCGGTTCAATTTCACAACTTAACCGAGAAGTTCATCATATTTTCACATTACCGAATACTGCGTTACCGAGATACGTCTGAATACCACTAATATAAATCGATATTCACTCTTTTATTAATTTGACTGCTTTCAATACATATACTGAGTATATATTGAGAATGCAAATTATTTTTAATGGATAACAGTGTAATTATTTACACACGTTTCAGTCCTATTTACAAAGGATATATATTCGTTTCATCGAATATATACAATAATTCTTGATTTAATAAAAAGGAACAAATGTTCCAAAAATTTTTTTGCAATTCACCCACATTATATGATTATTAGTGAATATTAAAGATTTTCAAAACCAAAACATAAAATTTAGGTATTCCAAAAAATACTATAGATCTGTTTTATGATTAAGATGTTTTTGAAATCGAGGTCACATTCTTTGGCGGTTAAAAAAGAATCGCCCCAACTTTGAATTTAGGATAATCTAAATATTCTAAATAGATGTGCAGATATAGTCATCAAATTTTAATTTTGACCCATTTTCGAACTTTTCCAATAATTTATAGGAACCATTGTTCCTACTCCAAAGCAGTGGAGTAGAATAGTTTAATAACTTATGAAGTTTAAGGTGTTCAGATATCTATACATATATTTACTCAAAGTCTTTAGCATTATAAATATTTATATACCCAAATTTTTTTTCGCCAGATACACTTAACATACTATGTTACTGAATTTGGATCCGGAATCTGCAACCTCTCGTTTAGGAAGAAAATACACAAAATACTCTCAAATAAAAATCACTGATTATTACTTATTAACTTGAATTTACCATATTTTTTATTCTAAATTATTTAATGTCATAATTTTATTGTTTATGTATTTATTATTATTATGACAATTAAGATTTAATAAGTGTTTAATTGCTTAATGAAAAAAGTGGGACTATCTTATTAGTGTTTGGAATAAATTTTAAACTTCAACATTCGAAGCTGCTATTTGTAGTCCGAGATAATCTAATTTAGAATATTTTATCGCTTTTAAACAAGGCTCCTCAGATCCAAGGTTTGGCGTACGCGTGCATAAAAGCACATGAATATTGTATTTGGGATGAATTCTAATATGACAAAATTTCACCTCGATTAATGCGAAATTTGCATAAATTATCCTGCCAGTGTTGCAAATTCATGTCGTCACTTGAACCTTTCTTATGAATGTCAAAAGTACATAAGGTAGCTAACTCCGATGACATCAACAAGGTGAGCCATTCACTTGTGGATGACAACACCGCCACCGAAACGACGCAATTTAGTCCATTATTCACCTTGTTCGTCTCTTACTTTCCACTTTACTACTGTAATCTAATGTTGATTTTTTGTTTGGCTTGTGGCCGCAGTGTGGTTATCCTAATTATTCATAATTTTAGGGTCAACAGAGTTAAGAATTGTTAAACGCTTTCTGCATAACAATTTGCAGGTAAACGTTAAGCGCAAGACTTGATTCGAATTTAAAATATAATTGTTTGAGTTTGTTTTTTATTGATTTTTTAAAATTTCATCCTTTTTATCATTGTGCCATTTCTTGGTTTTGTTTAATTCACAGCGGAAGGGGCATTTAAGAAACTCAAACCCGAACCAAACAGTGGTCTGTCAACAGTTTCCTCCGGTATTACTTCACCCGGAAGCGGTTTGTCTTCATTAAGCCAACATGCTGGCCATACTCCAACCACGGCATCCTGTCCGACGCCGGCGAGGCGAAGACATCGAACGACATTTACCCAGGTAAGTTGTAAAAATTATTTAAAGATTTTAAAAACTTGATTAAACTGTTTTGATGCTAGTGCGGGGATTCCAATTCTTTAAAATAATTTACCTTGAAGTATTATATATTTAAATCCTAAGATAAATTTTAAGCGTTTTATAAACATTTTTATGAGGTCCTTTATGAAATTTATTATTGCACATGTAGACGATTTGTGAGACTTCCTAATAAAAATAGATGATGAATAAGTTTTAGAATAGCGTTTTACAATAACTATTTACCTTGAAGGATTACTAAATAACTAAATTATATGCTGTGAAAGATTTATGAATTTTTTAAAAACTATAAGATTCGTACCCTAAAACTTTCTGGATGCATCATATACATCTTCCTTGACATCAAAGTTTGCTATGGAGCTAATTTCGGATATTTTACCAACTCTTATGCTTAAGGAAAGTTACAAAAACGTGACTTGAATGTGTTGCCTTTAGAATAGAAATAATGTTTTCATTTGAAAACATGCATAGTGCATTAAGTCTAGGTCTTGAAAATGCCTAAATTACCTTCACTATCCGACTAATACTCCTTACTTGGGAAAAACAAAATAATTACAGATGGTCACTATGAAGGATGATTGATTTTCGTAAATTCTAACACTAAGAAATTCAAATTTGCAAAGGTATTTCACAGCATATAGCATAAAGTAATAGTCCTTTATGCAAGTTAAAATATCAACTACCGCAAGACTACTATCGGATAATAGGCAGTTTTATTAGTGGCAGGAATTTGTATGTCAAACACTAAAGTGAATTCTCTGGAAATACAAAAAAAAATGGACTAAATAAAGTATAAATATCCGAAATACAAATACTGCCACAAGGCAGATACTGGGACCTTTATATCTTTTATACAGGTATGACAGATATACCTATTTCATCCTCAGAAGAAAACATGATAGCTACATTCGCTAATTACACCGTTCATTGTTGCAGTTCTTCCTAAAAACTACAAAAACAATTAGACAATTCACTGCTATATTCCAATAAATGGGGTGTAGAAATAAAATCTTATTCTTTATTCTGTGGTTGTTAATGAGATCAAAACTAGAAAACAGTTACATTTTATCTCTACGCAATATGCTTAAGTTGTCTAACCAATAAAATTTTTGCACAAAGTTACATCATTTATATCATGTGAACTCACTTATTGTGCGATATTCTCTGGCTCTACCTCCAAACTCTTAAATTTACACTAAAAATTAGAGCCATGACCATAACCGTGACCATGGCTATCTACATATCATGGCCCTAAGCCCAGAACTATTTCGGGTTGCAACTACAGTATTTTGACAATTGACATCTGATTTTTATTTAGTGGATTTTGTCATGTTAACGTGACTATGCTTTATGGACTTGTGGAATCATTGATACATATTTTACCAAAAATTTGAAAATCGCGATATACTTATGGTGGACTTTTTGTTATCCAAATAAATAGCGTTAAAGTACAACAGCAGTTTTGGTTCTAGAACATGTCGATCAGCGCCGGTTATTACAGAAAAGATTAAGACATACATTTTTATGGGTATTATGATCCTACTAGGGTATTTGGATGCTAATATTCGCGAAGTTATTGCGGATTTAACCACTTAGTTGCTCGAAAAAAGTTTTGTTGGAACCTGCCACAAACATTAATAATATAAAATTATGGAGCCATTTTTATGGTCCCGATCAAATCTTAACTATACAATGGCAAATTTTGATTATTATTACATTATAATATACTATTATTTTAAATAAGTGTTTATTATTATACTATAATAAATTATTTCTGAGTTTTGGTCAAGTTCTCCAATTAACAATATCTAGATCTGGTGAATAAATAAATAATATACCTACTAAGTCGGAATACGTATGAACATCGATTAACTCTATTTTTTGATTTAGTGATATACGTATAGCTGTTTATTAAGTTATATAATACAATTAACATCATTAAACGATCAAATTTATTTGGTCACTGAATGATATATTTTTTTTTAATCGGGTTGATTAACTCTTTACTTAAATCTACGTAAAATAAGTTAATTAGACGCAGTATTTTCATAGAGAATTAGTTAAAATTGATAGTTTTTTTAAGAATACCAATACATATTTAAGTCCTGACTTCATTATTGAGAGTATATAAGAACTGTAGTTTTCTCAATGTGTAAAGGAAAATAGGTTTAGTGAGAGAAAAATATTACTTTAAAATATTTAATTCTCATTTTATGTATTTAAGGACACTTGTTAAGTTTTTGATTCTTTGCAAATAAAAATTCAATTTTTAATATTTAGAGAACTTAGATGGCAGAAAAGGAAAGGGACACTTACAGAAAAAAAATTAACAAGTTCGTAATTAAATGGATATAGATCGAAGGACAACATGCGAAAATATGTTCGTCCTTTTATTATCAGCGAAATTTAAGTGTTTATAATTTCGGATGCTGTAGTTTCAACAACAATAAAAACCAACGTGGTCTTCAATGTAGTATAAGGAGAGTTGTATTTAAGATTTTAAAAAGTAATGACTTATTCCGATTCGTGTACTGAATAAAAAGAAATACAAATAGTTTTTGAAGTTCATTGAAACTTGTTGAGAGAACAGAAATAAAAATTGAGTCAATTGAGTGAATTTGAAGTAAGTACCTCCAGCTCAAAAAGTCCTCGGATTTTGTAAATAAAACACACAAATTTAAATTTTATTTCAAATTTATTTTATCTCCTTCAAAATATGCTCTTTATGAAGCGATACACATATGCCAACGCTTAACCCAATCTTCCATACACTTTTCGTAGGCCCGTGCAGGTATGGCTTTTAGTTCCTTCGGCGAATTCTCTTTTACCGATTCAATCGATTCAAAACGTTTACCACGAAGGGGCAATTTGAGTTTTGGGAACAGGAAAAAGTCGCAGGGCGCCAGAACTGGCGAATATGGTGCCTGAGAGATGACAGTGGTGCAGTCTTTGGTCAAAAAATCGCGTACAACAAGAATTTTCCATAGTAAAAATCGCTAAATGCACTTGAGGTAGTCTCACATTAACAGCTGCTATAAACAAACTAATTGACAAATTTGTACCATATGTCAAGAAAGGGTATACCAACATAACAAAAAAAAATTCTTGAAAAAGGTCTATTACTTAAGGAGTAGTTAACAAACACCAAAATTCGAATACTTCTTGAGCAAAAGGTAGATATAATTATTTTCTTGATGTTTCAGATTCAGAACATCAAAACTTATTAAAGCAAAGCACCATTTAATATGATCCAAAGGATACCCCAAGTGTGTTTGTCTACAAATTTAATTGTCATCTGACAAGTAACCGTTACAGAGACTTCTAGTGAGCTAGATAAACCTCATACCTCATAGAATGCAAATGTGACTATGATGAAGATTTAAACTTTAATTCCATTAACATTAATTTTGTACATAGGAGATTACAAAATTTGAAGAATATAGATCAGCCTTTAGTAGAAAAATGGGGGAAACATAATGAACCTGGACAAGGAGAATATAACGTTTGTCGTGTTAAATACAATGAAATTAAACTTGAAAACAAATCGGAACAGCAAAGTCTTCCATGCATTTTATTGAGAATATATAATATATATTGCCGGTAAATTAACTACAAATAATATAACAGAGTTGATAATACTCATTTTAATACAAAATATATAACAATAATAAAAAAGGATTAATTTTTTTAAAAAAAAAACTTTTATGTTATTTTCTCTTCGTAGGACATAAAAGTTTACAATTTAATAAAAGTATAAAAACGTAGACTGAATTTGATTTTTTTGATATCTTTAAAATCCACGGTTATAAGTGCACGATTTTGCATCGAAAGCTTTTTGGTTATTACTTTTAGTTTTTTTTTACCGTTAAATGAAACCTGCACCCGGATTTATGTATTCCATAATGTTGGTTTCAATTCTATACATTTACATAAATGTCAGCGATTAGCTTTTGCACAAAAAAGCAACATAAGAAAGAAAACATTAAACATTTGGTTTGGAAAAAAGGACTTCCCCTAACACCAAAATGGATTCATACTTAAAACTAAAATGCGACTTATAGAATGCACTTTCCCATATTCCTATTGGCACGTGACAATATTTTCATTCGTGTTATGAAGAAATTAGAGTTATTGAAGTTCAAGTTACTGAAGCAGAATTTAATGTAATTAATAAGGCGTTTACATTGGCCGAAAATGGCTCATTTTTAATTTTTTTATTCATTTTCATTTTTAATGAGCCATTTAAAAGTGTTTACATTCATTGTAATTCGTTTGTTCTTATTTCAAACAGCTGATTTGATTTGATTTTTGATCTATGCCAATATATGTTGGATGAAGGTAAAATATGCCTTCAAACGTAACAATATAAACTTAAAGCATATTTTTAAATTCGATTAATTACTTATTGGAAAGTAGAAGTTCTAAAAAGAGGTGCATCGTTTTCAAGAAAATGCAACCACCAAACATTTGTTTACCTTTTTTTGTAAATATGTCAAAAATAGCTTTCCCATACTGTCAAAATGCCATGAAGAGCTTTTATTTAGGGTATGTTCAATGTATTCCTTTGTATTTGGAACATATTTGGAACGCATTCATACAAAATGTGCTGAAATGGATCGCATTCGCGCTTGAAATTTTGTATGCAAGAATGAGTTATTCGCTTCTCATTATCGATTTTTGACCAAAATGATCCCTTTTCGGCCAGTGTAAATGCCGTATTACTCTCTAAAACGCTGTTGCACTCTTTTAAGTTCGAGTTATAGAAGTTCAAGTTATGGATGTTTGACTATGTGTATATACATAATGTAATATAAAATAATATATAACATATAAATGTATATGTATATACTAATAAGACCGGTTATAAATTATTTGTTCACGTTTATATTTCGGTAGTTTTTATGGTTTAGTTTCAAATTTAAAGTACATTCATCAGTAAATAAAAATCTACATACATACATACGTCTGATTTGGCAGTTTATGTGATATGACAGCTACATACAGTGACTCCATCGCATAATCGGACAAGCATTTGTTCGATATAAATGTGCTCTAAACTTTTAAAAAAATGCTAAAAATATGATTTTTTTTTGCATACTTATTTATCTAAATTATAAAAAAAATTAAAACATTTCTCATAATAACTATTAATTTAAAGTAAAAACCAGAACCAACACAATTTTTTGGGCTCAACGTATAATCGGACAAAATTAAGCATCCATGATAAAAATGCAGAAATGTGGCATTTAATATATTGTTGCATATCCTTTGTTATCCAGAACGGCCTGAAGACGATTTGGAATTGATTTTACCAATTTTTGGCACACTTCTGACTCAATTGAGTACCATGCCTCGAGTAAAGCCTTCTTTAGCTATACTATTGTGTTAAATTTTTTTTGTTCCACTCTCCTAGCTAATTCCTCCCAAAGATGCTCAATTACATTAAGGTCTGGGCTCTGTGCAGGTGTGTCTATGAGTTTGGGGTAGTTATGGATCAACCAAGGGTTTGCTACGCCTGACGTATGCTTGGGATCGTTGTCCTGATAAAAAGCAAAATTTTCTGCCATACTCAATTTCTCTGCACTTTGCTTTACATTCTGTTTCAAAATGTCGAGATATCCAAATTTGTCTATTTTACTATCTATAAATGCAAATTACCTACTCCCGCACTCGACATACAACTCCAAACCATAACAGAGCCTTCTCCATGTTTTATAGTGATTTTTGTATTGTGATGATTGAATTCTGCATTTGGTTTACGCCATACAAACATCTTACCATCAGATCCATGCAGATTAAATTTACTTTCATCAGTGAACAAAACCTTAAAAAAATGAAAATTATCGATGAAAAGGTATTTAAGATGATTTACCATCAATTTACCTGATTCCAAAAGCTTTCTGTTTTTAGTAAATACTCCTTAGCATATTTTATTCTTGATGGAATTTATCAAATGTAGAACACACCTATTCAATAAAACCCGTTGTGTTCTTTTCGAGTGTATAATCACAACTGTCGTTATTTATTAAATCAAATTATAATCAAATTATAAGGCTAAATAAAAGCTTATTAAAGCTTGACAAAAATATCTATGTATGTGTTATGTTATTAACATTGTGGTAGGATTTAACTTCAACAATACTTTTGGTTTTATTTATGATACTTATAAACGGCTTCTTTCTGGCAATTCTTCCGTGATAATCGAATTTATGTAGTGTATTGCGAATAGTATTTAAGCATACATTTTTCCCAGAGCGGGATTTTAATGAAAATTTAAGATCTTTAACGGTTTGGAAAGGATTTTTCGTTATTTCTTTCAATATGGAACACTCTTCTCGATCATTTAACATTTCGCCTTGAGCTGCTCTGATCTTATTGGCCAGCCTAAACTCATCATGGGACCTCTTGATAATGTCTTGGATAGTACATTGACTTATTCCAACTAAATTGGCAATTTCTCTAACGGTTTTATCTTCGGAATTCTTTTTAATTATTAATTGACTAATTTCGAGAGTAGATTACTTTCTATTTGGTGCCATTTTAATATTAATTTATGTTACGATTTTATAATTTATAATTTATAATATATTTATATTTATCTTAATGTAAAAAACATTGCTGTGAGAATTATTACTGTAGTTTTGAAGTGCATATTTGTAAAATAACAGTATTTTTAGCATTGCTGCTTCATTTTGTCCGATTATACGTTGAGCCCAAAAAATTGTGTTGGTTCTGGTTTTTACTTTAAATTAATAGTTATTATGAGAAATGTTTTTATTTTTTTAAAGAAAAATTTAAATTAATTAAAGAAAAAGAAAATTATATTTTTAGCATTTTTTTTAAGTTTAGAGCACATTTATATCGAACAAATGCTTGTCCGATTATGCGATGGAGTCACTGTATGTATATCTAAATCTGAAACGATACGAATAAAATGTTGTGAATTATCTCATATGAATACAAGTACATTCTGTTCCGAATTTCATTTAAATGTCTTAATTAGAAACGAAGATAACTTATATCTGATTGTTCAGTTTATATGGCAGCTATTGGATATAGTAATCTGATGTAGGCAAATCTAACAAATGACGAAAGTCCGCTTTCGAAGAGTGAAATGAAACAGACAGACAATGCTAAATGAACTAAGCTTGTTGATAAAGAATATTCATGTATACCTTATGGGATCTACGATGCTTTCTTCAATGCGTAACCAAAATCGTGACTAACCTAATATTTATTTGTAACACTATTTTATGTAGAGAGTATAAAAACTTAGATTCGTATATTTCGCTCTCGTATTTAATTGCACCTCTAATTGCTAGATTTCAATGAGGTTCTAATTGACATTTTTTTATTTCAGGAACAATTAGCTGAGCTCGAGGCCGCATTTGCAAAATCCCATTATCCTGACATTTACTGCAGAGAGGAATTAGCACGAACGACAAAGCTAATTGTTCCTGAAATAAAAAAATGTCAATTAGAACCTCATTGAAATCTAGCAATTAGAGGTGCAATTAAATACGAGAGCGAAATATACGAATCTAAGTTTTTATACTCTCTACATAAAATAGTGTTACAAATAAATATTAGGTTAGTCACGATTTTGGTTACGCATTGAAGAAAGCATCGTAGATCCCATAAGGTATACATGAATATTCTTTATCAACAAGCTTAGTTCATTTAGCATTGTCTGTCTGTTTCATTTCACTCTTCGAAAGCGGACTTTCGTCATTTGTTAGATTTGCCTACATCAGATTACTATATCCAATAGCTGCCATATAAACTGAACAATCAGATATAAGTTATCTTCGTTTCTAATTAAGACATTTAAATGAAATTCGGAACAGAATGTACTTGTATTCATATGAGATAATTCACAACATTTTATTCGTATCGTTTCAGATTTAGATATACATACAGTGACTCCATCGCATAATCGGACAAGCATTTGTTCGATATAAATGTGCTCTAAACTTAAAAAAAATGCTAAAAATATAATTTTCTTTTTCTTTAATTAATTTAAATTTTTCTTTAAAAAAATAAAAACATTTCTCATAATAACTATTAATTTAAAGTAAAAACCAGAACCAACACAATTTTTTGGGCTCAACGTATAATCGGACAAAATGAAGCAGCAATGCTAAAAATACTGTTATTTTACAAATATGCACTTCAAAACTACAGTAATAATTCTCACAGCAATGTTTTTTACATTAAGATAAATATAAATATATTATAAATTATAAATTATAAAATCGTAACATAAATTAATATTAAAATGGCACCAAATAGAAAGTAATCTACTCTCGAAATTAGTCAATTAATAATTAAAAAGAATTCCGAAGATAAAACCGTTAGAGAAATTGCCAATTTAGTTGGAATAAGTCAATGTACTATCCAAGACATTATCAAGAGGTCCCATGATGAGTTTAGGCTGGCCAATAAGATCAGAGCAGCTCAAGGCGAAATGTTAAATGATCGAGAAGAGTGTTCCATATTGAAAGAAATAACGAAAAATCCTTTCCAAACCGTTAAAGATCTTAAATTTTCATTAAAATCCCGCTCTGGGAAAAATGTATGCTTAAATACTATTCGCAATACACTACATAAATTCGATTATCACGGAAGAATTGCCAGAAAGAAGCCGTTTATAAGTATCATAAATAAAACCAAAAGTATTGTTGAAGTTAAATCCTACCACAATGTTAATAACATTACACATATATAGATATTTTTGTCAAGCTTTAATAAGCTTTTATTTAGCCTTATAATTTGATTATAATTTGATTTAATAAATAACGACAGTTGTGATTATACACTCGAAAAGAACACAACGGGTTTTATTGAATAGGTGTGTTCTACATTTGATAAATTCCATCAAGAATAAAATATGCTAAGGAGTATTTACTAAAAACAGAAAGCTTTTGGAATCAGGTAAATTGATGGTAAATCATCTTAAATACCTTTTCATCGATAATTTTCATTTTTTTAAGGTTTTGTTCACTGATGAAAGTAAATTTAATCTGCATGGATCTGATGGTAAGATGTTTGTATGGCGTAAACCAAATGCAGAATTCAATCATCACAATACAAAAATCACTATAAAACATGGAGAAGGCTCTGTTATGGTTTGGAGTTGTATGTCGAGTGCGGGAGTAGGTAATTTGCATTTTATAGATAGTAAAATGGACAAATTTGGATATCTCGACATTTTGAAACAGAATGTAAAGCAAAGTGCAGAGAAATTGAGTATGGCAGAAAATTTTGCTTTTTATAAGGACAACGATCCCAAGCATACGTCAGGCGTAGCAAACCCTTGGTTGATCCATAACTACCCCAAACTCATAGACACACCTGCACAGAGCCCAGACCTTAATGTAATTGAGCATCTTTGGGAGGAATTAGCTAAGAGAGTGGAATAAAAAAAATTTAACACAATAGTATAGCTAAAGAAGGCTTTACTCGAGGCATGGTACTCAATTGAGTCAGAAGTGTGCCAAAAATTGGTAAAATCAATTCCAAATCGTCTTCAGGCCGTTCTGGATAACAAAGGATATGCAACAATATATTAAATGCCACATTTCTGCATTTTTATCATGGATGCTTAATTTTGTCCGATTATACGTTGAGCCCAAAAAATTGTGTTGGTTCTGGTTTTTACTTTAAATTAATAGTTATTATGAGAAATGTTTTAATTTTTTTTATAATTTAGATAAATAAGTATGCAAAAAAAAATCATATTTTTAGCATTTTTTTAAAAGTTTAGAGCACATTTATATCGAACAAATGCTTGTCCGATTATGCGATGGAGTCACTGTATGTAGCTGTCATATCACATAAACTGCCAAATCAGACGTATGTATGTATGTAGATTTTTATTTACTAATGAATGTACTTTAAATTTGAAACTAAACCATAAAAACTACCGAAATATAAACGTGAACAAATAATTTATAACAGGTCTTATTAGTATATACATATACATTTATATGTTATATATTATTTTATATTACATTATGTATATACACATAGTCAAACATCCATAACTTGAACTTCTATAACTCGAACTTAAAAGAGTGCAACAGCGTTTTAGAGAGTAATACGGCATTTACACTGGCCGAAAATGGCTCATTTTGGTCAAAAATCGATAATGAGAAGCGAATAACTCATTCTTGCATACAAAATTTCAAGCGCGAATGCGATCCATTTCAGCACATTTTGTATGAATGCGTTCCAAATATGTTCCAAATACAAAGGAATACATTGAACATACCCTAAATAAAAGCTCTTCATGGCATTTTGACAGTATGGGAAAGCTATTTTTGACATATTTACAAAAAAAGGTAAACAAATGTTTGGTGGTTGCATTTTCTTGAAAACGATGCACCTCTTTTTAGAACTTCTACTTTCCAATAAGTAATTAATCGAAGTTAAAAATATGTTTCAAGTTTATATTGTTACGTTTGAAGGTATATTTTACCTTCATCCAACATATATTGGCATAGATCAAAAATCAAATCAAATCAGCTGTTTGAAATAAGAACTTAACGAATTACAACGAATGTAAACACTTTTAAATGGCTCATTAAAAATGAGCCATTTTCGGCCAATGTAAACGCCTTATTAATTACATTAAATTCTGCTTCAGTAACTTGAACTTCTATAACTCTAATTTCTTCATAACACGAATGAAAATATTGTCACGTGCCAATAGGAATATGGGAAAGTGCATTCTATAAGTCGAATTTTAGTTTTAAGTATGAATCCATTTTGGTGTTAGGGGAAGTCCTTTTTTCCAAACCAAATGTTTAATGTTTTCTTTATGTTGCTTTTTTGTGCAAAAGCTAATCGCTGGCATTTATGTAAATGCATAGAATTGAAACCAACATTATGGAATGCATAAATCCGGGTGCAGGTTTCATTTAACGGTAAAAAAAACTAAAAGTAATAACAAAAAAGCTTTCGATACAAAATCGTACACTTATAACCGTGGATTTTAAAGATATCAAAAAAATAAAATTCAGTCTACGTTTTTATATTTTTATTAAATTGTAAACTTTTATGTCCTACGAAGAGAAAATAACATAAAAGTTTTTTTTTTAAAAAAATTAATCCTTTTTTATTATTGTTATATATTTTGTATTAAAATGAGTATTATCAACTCTGTTATATTATTTGTAGTTAATTTACCGGCAATATATATTATATATTCTCAATAAAATGCATGGAAGACTTTGCTGTTCCGATTTGTTTTCAAGTTTAATTTCATTGTATTTAACACGACAAACGTTATATTCTCCTTGTCCAGGTTCATTATGTTTCCCCCATTTTTCTACTAAAGGCTGATCTATATTCTTCAAATTTTGTAATCTCCTATGTACAAAATTGTTAATGGAATTAAAGTTTAAATCTTCATCATAGTCACATTTGCATTCTATGAGGTATGAGGTTTATCTAGCTCACTAGAAGTCTCTGTAACGGTTACTTGTCAGATGACAATTAAATTTGTAGACAAA